GCCACGCGGTGTTACCCGCGGTAAAACGTAGCCTATAACGCATAGGCCAGGGTGTCAGCTAACTCCATACCAAGTTTTATTAAAATCGCTCTAACCGTTTAGACGTGAAGAAGTAACAAACATACACACACACTCACAAACTTTCGCCGTGAAATGTGATAATATAGTGTGATAATCTTATGTTGACCTATAAGTACTATCGGTAACAGTGTAACTACCCATTGCCGGTCATGTCGTCTCGTTCTATCGCAAAGAATCACCGTTTGATAAGAGCGAGAGCATAAAAGAGAAATGGCTAGTAAACACTGACCGATAGTAAATATCCCCAAATACGATAACGATACGACCGTGTAATATATCACGTACTAAAAAAGATTTTTGTGGATTTTCGATTATATTCGTCCCATTTAAGGTTGCCAGGCGTCCGGCTGTAGCCGGACATGTTTGGCTTTTTACGGTCTTGTCCGGCCAAATATTGTCAGGGTAAAATGTCCGGCCAAATGAAGCACTGAGTCCGGCTTTTTTGATTTTGGACCTGGCAACTCTAGTCCCATTAAAAGTTTTGAGTCACCTTTTTATGGTTTTAATTAAATTGAAGATGAGATAGTTCTTACAAGTTCTATGTTTGTCTTTATGACCTATCTGTGTGCCGACTTTGGAAATTCTGTTTTAGACTTGAAGTGGCTATAAAATTCTAAAATGATCCTTACTCGTCTGACGTCAGCTTCATCAATGCTTCATATAAAGATTCCTCCGTGAGGTCTTGGAAGAAGATGTACGTGCCCATGCCAGATTCTTTAATGGCCGCTGCATTCGAGAACTGGTCCCCGAAGAACGGGACAGCGATCAGCGGCGTCCCGCAGTAGGCGGCTTCCGAGTAACTCAGCATGCCGCCGTGGGACACGAAAGCCAGGACTTTCGGATGACCTGAAAATTTTAAGGCGAAGTTCTGTCATGTCGGTAGCACTTTTATTACAAAATCTTGGCAGATCGGTACTAATTAACAGACATCTTTCTAGTTCTGATCCCTACAATAGCAACGATTTGTATTGTATTTATGGTTAAGCAATAGGTAAATGAGATGGGTAGTGATAGAGTTCGGCTCTCACAATTTAGGTTTGCAATACTCATTATTTATTTATTAAAACGCTAGCACACCTGCTAGGTCAAGGATGCTATATTAGCGCCGTCTGTAAAGTGACTAAATAATTTTGAATCTACAATAGAAGATAATTATAATCTAGTATTTTGTATGACTAAAATGCTTAACACGTGACGGAATTACTGAATATCAATGCAATGCCACTTTAGAAAAAGACCGGAGCAAATTCTCGACCAGCTGCAGACTTCCACAAATTAAAGCGTTTCTTTTATACTAATTGCTCAACGAACCCCGTCCTTGTCCATGCTTGACGTCATAGGAATCTAATTACCTCCTCTAAGTATGTCATTTATCTCTTTAGCACACTTAATTAGTTTTTGTTTGCTTTTTATCGTGAAATCGTTCTTTCAGAGCAAAATGAACAAAGCCTAATCTGTTTCTTTTATTGAAATGACCAAAGATCGTAACAATAAATAAACAATATTGTAATATAATTAAAAAAATGCATTTATTATGCTAACTAAGGAACTCACACATGATTGTTGTAATTTTAAATCGTGAAGGGAAAAAGGCATGAATGTAAATTACTCTCACGTTGATCATTATTACAGCGGAATCTCAGAATCACATGTGACCTTGGACATACAAACAATCGACGTTTGCCTATCTTGACGAAATATTTGAAACAACTTTACGATTGGGCTAAGATTATTTTAAGTAACGACTCCATAGAGCGTCTCGTAGTGCAGGGAAAAGTTGAGGGCACCAGACCACGTGGTAGATCACCAATGAGATGGACGGACCAGATCAAGGCCGCAACTAAGTGCTCGGTTAGCGAAAGTACCCGGAAAGCTGCAGTCCGCGAGGAATGGCGCCGTATTACGAGGAACATCACTCTGAATCGTGATTCAAAATGATGACCACGACCACTCTGACAAGAGTGTACCTGATACTGAGAAGAAGATTATTTTGCATCTATAAAGCCCAACATACACGGACCGCTCTTGCTGTCTTAGTCAATTGAAATTTCGTCGTGCTGCAAAGCGCCCGAAGCAGACAGAACTGCTCGAGCTGGTATCTGTGTAGATACGTAAAATACTGTGTAGTTAGCTATGCAGTCGCACCTTGAAGCGGTCGGTGCTAGCTGCTTCAAGCTGTCCGTGTATGGCGATCCTAAGTAAAACTTTGAAGTTCATTGTAGTATCTACATCATTGAGTTATAATGTTTACTTCAATGATCTACATCTATAAAAGCAAAAGGTCACTGATTGTCTGACACACTCACTCATCACGAAATCTCAGAAACTACAAGTGCTAGGAGTCTCAAATTTTGCATGGGGGTTCTTTTAGAACGTAGGTGCTCACCTCAGATCATAGAAAGGGAGTGCTCACTAATAACGGATTTTACGAAATTCCACCCCTAAGGGGGTAAAACGGGATCCACGCGTACGAAATCGCGGGCGGCCGCTAGTATTTCTATAAATATTTATCTTGGTCATGATTAGCCTACTAAAATACCTACACTACTAAAGAAATTAAGATGGGATCAAATAAAGAATATACTCACACAAAACGTCGACTTGTGAAAACCATTTCTTGGCCAGGATATTATCGTGTCCCGCCGGGAAGGTGTCGTTCTCCCACTTCCAGAGGACTTTCTGCGGGATCCTCTTGAGGGCTCCCAGGAACTGGTCCATTTTGTGAGGGGACATCGTGCTCAGCCTCAGATTCGAGCCGAAGCTAATGTAGACTGCCCCGTGCTCGGCTGTGGCGAGGAAGTCCTCGATGTCCTGAAATAGCATTCATGGTTTATGAGATTCTAATGCTAAATATTAAGTGCACCTTCGAGTTCAACTCAAGAACTAGTATATAAATGAAAAAATTACAGATTTTGTTCATATAAAAACGCAGGATGATCAAGTGTTCATACCCCTCTTGCAAAAATCCATTTGCGGTGAGCACGCGGTCCTGATGTGTCATATATGCAAAAACTGATAAATCTGATTATCTTATTTGTTATCATTAAATATACGAAACACATAAAATATTTAAGTTTTAATTTGTTAGTCTGTCAGACGAATGTTTAGTGAAACCGTTACATCAAATTATGTTTAGTGATCTCTAGGGAACTAATTGGTGACACAATTATTAGAATACTTAGCTTAGATAAGACCATTATTTACTCGTATTTGTTAGTTAGCTAACACTATGCAACTAAAAGTTGAATATGGAATGGTTGTTGCTATGCTGGACTACAAAACCAGCGGTGGCGGGTTCGAATTACACATGACGCAGTGTATCCAGTACGATAGACCGAGTAAACCCAGACGTTTACTAAATGGCCGTATACAGTTGTCATGGTAACATAAAGTCTCTGCATAATTTGGAGTTATTTAATTAATTACCTACTTAATCCGTTGATCAGATTCGTTATTACTTCTTTTTTATTGTTGTCTATTATTAGAACAACAGCTTAGATGCTGTAAATCAAATGGTATGTGTTCTTAGTACTTAAGTGTACGAAGGTCACTTTTTTTAAGAGTTTAAAGTTGGATAGTGGTTAGGTAGGCAGTGCACATAATAACATTTTAAGATACATAATTACAATTAATAAAGACACTTATGAACGTTTCTTTTATCATATGCAAATAGGTTCTACTTTATGTTTACACATAAAAACAAACATGAAATCTGTGCGCAAACAAAACTATGTACTCGTACTTATTTAGTCTGATAGTTTCACAAGTCGATAGACAGAATCCAGTTCATATTATTGTGCTTGAAATCTAGACATCACATGATGAAATAAAATTGATATACTCTTACCTTCGGTACAGGTTTAGGCTTGGATATGTGAGCGCCAGCAATCTCCAGCAGCTGGGGCGGCAACAGCCGCGCGCCGGTTATCGAGTGGTGCTGGTACGAGAACATCATCTTCGTCCGCTCCATCACCAGGCTCTCGAAGTCGAACGACAGCTGCGGCTGGTGGTACCTCATCGCGTCATACATACACTGCTGCCTGTGCCAGTTGAACAGCACATTGAAAACAAAGTACCCGATTGTGGCCTGAACCTTGTTAAGCAGTGACGGGTTAGAACCCCCGTATAAGAAATAAAACGCATCCGTCGCAGGGTTGAAAGGGATCCCCAGCCGCCGGTATGCCCACGGCAGCAGCACGTGAGACGTTATCCCAATGATGGGCGCGTCGAACTGAGTCGCCGCGTACACCAGCCCGCAGTCTCCCAAAAATTGCTCCACAAACACAACATCATATTTATTCCCTTCAGCTAAATGAGCTGACGCGTTTTCATTCAAAAACAAATTGTCACACTCCTCACGGACCCGCTTCGGCGCCAACACCAAATGATGCCAAAAGTTAGCCACCGGTACCAATGAGGCGTACGCATTTTCGTAGCTCTCTAGTGTGGAGGTTTTCGATATATTCGTATAATTTCCTTTAATATCGACAAATCTCAAGTTCTTCAAGGGCTCTTCATCAGGAAAATGATTGATTACCGTGACATTGTGTCCTCTCTTTGCAAATTCTCGGAATAATGGCTTGAAAGCCATGTAATGACTTTTGAGCGGAATAGAAACGATGGCAAGTATATTGATCGCGCACACATGGCTAGCGAGCAGCGAGGCTATGATAATTTTACTCCACATTATATTGCCGCGATTGTAAGGTCATTGATCGGAACAAAGCGCGGCACGCGGTAAGCTCGCGGCGTGGTCGGTGATTGACTGAGTCACACGGTCACGCCGACTGACAAGGACCCAGCCGAACGCGCGTGGAAGTCGAGATTTGCGTCTTGCATAGAGTTCACAATAGAAAGTCAGCATTATAGTTAACCGCACGGTAACGCCGAACAGGAAAACATACATAAAAATAACTTTATAGATTCCGATGTATATATTTCATAATAAATAGCTACTTATAATAGAATTAAATTAAATTATAAAATCGATAACCATTACAAATACATGGGGTTCCTAAAACAGCCTCTTCTGCACAATGTAGAGGCAGACGGCTAAGAAGAAGAGGAATGCAAAGAACATAATGACTTTGTCCGTGAACTCGCGGCGGCCGTATTTCGTGAGCAGCTTGCTGGACTGCGATATTGTGCTAGCAGTGTTTTGTAGTTCCGATTTAGTGCCCTAAAACAAAATACATAAAGTTCTTTATGCTTGCTCGGTAAGCTCCGATTTTGTTCCCTAAAACTAAACACAAGTAGTACTACAAATTGCCGCGAGAATCTTGTGAATAGGCATAGACTAAGACCATGCATGCACGCATCTTCCCGAGAAACCAGTTTATGAACAAGTTCTTACACTTGCAGTTCTTACACTTTGCTACTATTACCTATGTATTCTGTGGTTCTTGTAACAAGTAACTAATTTAATTAAAAAATAAGTGAACCTAACTACAATATTACTTACTAACAACACAGCTACCAAAAATTAAGATTTTTCGCTATTGCGGCGCTGAACTACATCAGCTCAGAAAAGTGGCAGTTAGTTTATTTTTCCTGTAATGCATATTTTGGCACGAATGCCGATCTGGTCCGCAATTCATTACATGTTTTTCTATTACGTGGGCTACACGCACGCGTGCGGAAATCCGCATCACAGGAAAAAAGGCACTTAGCAATAAGCCAGTAAATCCTTAATAAGAATAATATAGTCTGTTTGCAAAAAAAGTATCTTAATCTCAGAGCCATGGCATGGCATGAGTGACTGGGGTGAGTCACCATCTATCTCTACTATATCCACTGCTATTTGCTATCAATTATCTCAAAAGGTAGTTGTAATAGATTATGCAAAATGCCACTAAATAGTAAATATTAAGATAAAAAAATTAATTATACAATTGGAAAAGTCCATAAAAAAATTATGCATAGACAATGCATTGTAGGGTCATATAGGAAATGATAAAGATACTCATCCCAAAGTTTAACTGACAGAAAATTCCTTATGAAATAAGTTTGATTTACTTAATAATGTGGCACTGAAGACTAAATAAACTAATAAATATTTTTTATTTTAAGATTTAAAGACATTAAAATTGTACTCACATGCACTGTGGAGCTGGACGACACTAAGCTATCCAGCGTGTCTTGGCTCCTCTGTGTTGTGTCTGCCAATTGTCTGCTGATGGATAACAGTTTGTCTGTCACACCTACAACAAAATAATGTGTCAGTCAGTAACATTTCCATAGTGCCTAGAAGTTAGAATACAATTTGATTACTTTTGTTATTTTTTCAGAAGAAAAACATTGGGTTTATTTCTTCATTAATGTAATTTAAAAATTACTGATTAAATTATTAAAATAATGTCCTCAAAGCCTTGTGAGTAGGTACCAAACCTTAACAAACCACTTTTAACCAATAAAGCCGCAATCGCATGAGACTGAGGAAACATACTTGAAGGGTTAATGGCAAGTGTCACACTTCTAGTGACAAAACTCTAATATCAATTTAATAAATACCATTATTCTATTAATTAAAAATTATTTCTTTAATCTATTTACCTGTAGACATTTTCAATAAGCCATCCCGGTCAACGTTCTTCTTTCTTTGCGTCAACACAGGCTCTTGTCCCTCCACCGGCCTCAATAATTCTTCTCTTTGCAATTTCTCTATCACGAACAATGCAAAAATGTTCGCATCTTTGAATTCCTTCAGAAGTCTGTATAGAAATACAAATTTATAAATTAGGATATGAACAGCAGCAAATCATCTTTAGGGAATGATGAAGAGTCACAAGTGAAATAGTATTATTAACTACGGAGTGGTTATTTTGCCTAATAATAAACTTATTTACCCAGCTAGTAAACGCCTTTGCGTGTCCAGCTCAACAACGTATGTCTTGTCTCCACTGTCTTTGCCATACAGCTCCATACTTTCCATTTCTTCCCTTAACAATGTTATCATAGCTCGTCCCTTCTCATTCAATTCATTCAAAGCATCCATGGGACCTCTACATTCTAAAATATCCTGAAAAATAAAATGTTCATAATGGAATATTTTAACACTCAAATTCAGTTCAAAATACACCTGTAATATTCATAAAATTAACACAAAATTACCTGTATGATAGCTTTGACTTGAAAATGAAACTTCGCTAATCTTTTCACATAATTTTGATAAGTCACTTGGGGATTTTCTAATAATTTTGGGAAGAGCTGTTGGTACGCTTCCGTACTATTTATATCGTTTTTAATATTCATTCTGATAAATATTTAAAAATTCAGAAAGTTCTTGTGCTGTTTTGCTTTTGCTTTGCAATTTTTCAATTTATTTGGCATTAATGTCACTGTCAAAGTGACAGCGCGACGTGGGCTGCGTTCCGATTTCAGTGCTTACAGAAAAAATATTATGTTCCGAATTTGATGGAGCAAAAGACCCGGCACAGTTTCTCCACTCTACTCCTCACCACTTCAGTGGAAAGGCAACCTTATATTTTTTTAAATCTCGATCAATAATCATAATGAATAATCGTTTCTTTAGTTTAACTAATTACCGCTACCCCCGCTGCACGCGCTGCTGCGTCTCAAAACTCTCAAAATCATCGATAGATTTAAATTTTTTGGGATACGGAGGTTCTATGTGTAAGGTGGTGACGGTTTCAAGACTGGGTGGGTTCTTCAAACACTGTCTACCCTTGATAAAGCCTACTTCATTATCTCTGAGTCTTAAACCATTATTTCCCAAAGCTCTATCTAAAACCACATTAGGTAATGGAAATCCATGGAAGAACGAAAAAGAATGGTCTGAATCTGATTTTTAACATACTTAAAGCTCCTTGAGCCATTATATTTCTCTCAACATCTAACACATCGAAGTGCTCATAAATGTTATCTTTTGGTACAGTAAGTATTGATGTCGATTGAACCTCATAATAAGTGTAAGTAAAATAAAACAAATTTCATAATAAATGCATTTTAATAAATAAATTAAGGTAATTGTAGCGTAATACTGATCATGAAAAACCTTCGTGAACGAATGTAAATTTGGTTTTTGTCGTGCTAGAGATATATTTACACTTGTTTCTTAACAATTTTACTAACTTCTTTGGTCCACAGCAATATAAATTCAATTGCGCTCTGAAACAAACATAATTTTTGATATTAAAGATCTGTTACATCGACTGTAAGTAACGAAAAGTAAGACAATTCAAAATAAATACTCACTGAGGGTACAAATGAACCCAATACCCAAACACGCGGTCCCAGTGCGGTCGTCCCCTCCGCACCCTACATCCCAGCAGTGGGTACTCTTTAGCTATGCTATACTCCCCTACACTACTCCCTTCATTATCCACGCCCTTAACTAAGTTCCCATTCCTTCGCAAATTCGGAGTCAGAAGCGTTGCTCTTTCATCGTCTGTAAATTCTCTTTTATGAACGACTCCTTTTCCGTTAAATGTAACCAAGTGTATGGTTTCTTTATTAGCATTCAAGTTGTTCTTGGTACTTGTGACGTATAATTCAATGTGCAGGCGGTCAGGTCGATTGGAATCTCGTAGCCGCATCATAGTTTTGGTGGCTAGATCAGCCAACCAAGTTATTTCTTCTTCGTGTCTCACTATCCATAGGAGGTGGATCCTCCCTGGTAAATAGCTTCTTGGGTACCTTAGAAAAAAATGAGGAATTAGTGACGCGTTTTAAACGAACAGCTTTTATTTGAGTAAGTGCAAAGACAATGGTCCTTCGAGCCGGATACTGAAAATATGAGATTTAGACATTAAACAACTGTTTGTATCCGGCTCGAAGGACTTAAAGTGATAATAATATTTATTATTTAGTAGTATCTTCGTAGTTTATTTTATACAGTATAAACAGTACTAACTATGACAGTAGTAACTTACAAGAACATATTCCTTAGTAATGCGACAAAAGGAGTAATACCAACACCGGCAGCTACGCATATCGCTACCGAACAGCCCGCAACACCTTCCATGGGGCTTGAGAACGGACCATCCACTAATACACTGGAAACACAACATAAAAACAGTTATTGATTGAACATCAAATAATAGGTAACTACATAGATATTTGAATAGAAACAAAAATACATATACATATAAGTAATTTGGCAGAATAACCCACCTTAGTCTAGCAGGACCTCTATCTAATAAAAGCCTCTCTAAAGCTTCAGTCCAATCACCCGTCACTCTTATCCATATAACAAAATCATTTTGACTAGATTCAGGTATCTGAAACAAAAAACGTTACTCATGAAAGTGTACCTGAAAATGAGCATTCAAAGCGATCGTTGGTAGGTAGGTGCTACAGTTGAGCGTTGTTATCATGACTACCCTCAAAAAACATATTTAAGGTAGTTATCACCTTAATGACAGCAGCAGCGCGGCAGGCGAAGCCTTCGTGGGACAGCTGAGGGTCAGTATCATGACTACCCTCACAAGTTGTGAGTCGCAACATGTCTCACCTTGACGACAGTAAAGGGGTGCCACTCCAGCAGCGACGCGTCAAGGCACTGTAGCAGCACGTACTGTCCCGCGCGGCAGGCGAAGCCTTCGTGGGGACAGCTGAGGGTCAGTATCATGACTACCCTCACTACATCTCACCTTGACGACAGTAAAGGGGTGCCACTCCAGCAGCGACGCGTCGAGGCACTGCAGCAGCGCGTACTGTCCCGCGCGGCAGGCGAAGCCTTCGTGGGACAGCTGAGGGTCAGTATCATGACTACCCTCACAACATCTCACCTTGACGACAGTAAAGGGGTGCCACTCCAGCAGTGATGCGTCGAGACACTGTAGCAGCACGTACTGTCCCGCGCGGCAGGCGAAGCTTTCGTGGGGACAGCTGAGGGTCAGGCTCATGGTTCGCCCGGCCATGTAAGTCACCTGAAACAAAATGTTTAGCTGAAAAATACCTACCTACCTATAATTAAAAATATAGCCACAGCATAATCTTGTACGACTAACATAAATCACGAAAGAGTTGAGGTTTTCAAACACAGAAAAAACTTGTTCTTCTTGTGGCTTAGCAACTAAAGCGCATTATAGTCGAGTCTAAAAACCTAATGGTTTTATTTCCTTCAGAAAGCCTAGCTACAATGTCTTAAACAGATTGGGCACAAATACACAAAAGCTCTCATTAGGTAGGTACTCTACATATTTTATAATAAGTACGTTGTACTACTTAGGTAGTTAAGTCATATTATTCAGGAAGACGGTCGACGGTGCTTTATTATGTAAGTCGGCATCCTGTCTGGAAGCATTAGCGTGCAAATCCTTCGAATCCAATAATACGCGTTCATAAGTGGATAATACAATATAATCGGCCTACATTATGGCCGGGATTGCGCCATAAATCGCGCCCTGTATTGCGATAATACATAAATTATTGCACAATTAGTGCATTCGCAGGTAGACAATACATTAAGTGTATTTTGTTCCATTTCTACTGTTAATTACTCCCTGGACATTAATTATGCGTGTTGAGTCCATGTAGAGCCACAACTACAGGTATCTGTACCGTACCGTAAACAAACAACATACAAATAGCATAATTTATAAGATTAGTGTTAGCTAACTGCCAGCGCTTTCACTCTATGTGCTTTATCCGCATTAAAGATCAAGGTTTAACTTTATCTACAAACACAATTTAACTTACAAACTCACCCCCTACCACTGACAAACTAAACATACAAAACTGAGTGCAATATTTTTACGACAAAAGTTAGTTATAAATATAGTTCAGTCGGCCGTTTGGTGTAGTGGTTCAGAACGGACTACTATGCCGAGAGGTCCCGGGTTCGATTCCCGGCCGGGCAGAAATTGAAATGATGAATTTTAATTTCTGTGACGGGTCTGGGTGTGACTATGTATAATATTTATGTATTTAAAAAAAAAAGTATATAAGTAGTATATCCGTTAAGCTAGCACCCATAACACAAGCATTAAGTTGCTTACTTTGGGGCTAGCTGGCGCTGTGTGAAATTGTCCAAAGATTTATTATTATTATTATTTATTATTATAGTTATTATTTATTTATTATAGCCTTCTGCAAGGTAATTAGTGTTATGTAATAAACATGTAAAGTTACTCGTCCATGAGCATACTGAATGTTAGTAGCTACTTATGTAATCAATTTAATATGTACGTATTTGATTTGAATAACTATAACTTACTTGTAATATATTTACTCTTGCCCGGTTTCTTGACAAAATTCGCCAAATGAGATCCATTATAAAACAGCTTAGAGGAAATGCCATCCACAACCAGGTCTGAAATGAAACAATGTAAATTGAGCTTCCAGTTTATTGATGTTATTTTCCCAAACTGAAGCACTTTGAAGCTAACTCTACAAATAATGCCTAGCCTCTGTTATTTATTTTGACTCTAATCTAAACTACGAAATATTTTAACGCTAACCAAGCGGTAGATTGTTAGATTGTTTGTTGAATTTCAATATTTTGAATCAATTGCAGAAAACCTATTCAAGATTTTAGATTTATTCCTACTGCCTTAGGTCAGTAATAGTCCTAGTGATATTAGGTAGTTGCATCATCTGTAACTGTACACATTATAGTGTCATCCCTCCCTATTCATCCTCGACTAAATACAGGCATTGTTGTACATTCCCACGGAGCAAATCCATCACAACAGCCAAGGTCTGGGACATAATGAGAGGCGTGACCATCGCTGAGTCCATAAAATAAACTCTACATCGGATTAGACCAATAATATCGACTAGTTAACGACTGTTGTCACTAATTGTACCATAAATTACAGTTTGATACTAACTTTGCTTCAAGTGGATACGCATCGTCGATCGGACTGACGAAATGACTCATTAAAATTCTAATTAATATGCATAGATTAAATCAATATCAAGTAGCAATCTGGGCCCTGTAAGCACATTTTCAATATTTTCCCTTTGTAAGCACAGCATAGTCAGCATCTTACTCGTAATGAAATTACGTAATTGGAGCTTCCAAATGAAAAACTACTGAAACACCACTAGATTAAAGTTTACCAATCGTAAATACAATAAATGCTTCTTAAAATTAAGTTTTTATTTATTTTACTTTGCTTATACAACCCTGACGCTTGAGCTGTGAGGTAGATCAATTCTGAACACAAAAAAATTGCGCTCTTGTGAGCGTAGTAGTAAGGTGCGATTTCGAATGCACCATGTGCGTTGGATATTTTGCATTATTATTATTACCGTTAAAATGTCGGCATCTGATCCTACACAAAGGAGTGCAATTTCTGTTGCTACTATTATGTATTCTGTGGTACCACTCATATATTAGTCTCTTCTTCATGACAACTGTGATTCAGGTCTATAGCTTACTTATTTGTTAGCTCATTCATCACTATTTATTCACTATAAAATATAGGGTATTCGACACAATTTGTGTTACTAGAATCAAATAGTTCGATTTGCATCAATTATTATGCGTAATTTGTCTATTTATAAGAATAATCTCTGGCCTCTCGTACTTGTTCTCATAGCATTTCCCTTACTAAATAATTCAGGTATCTATCTACCTACTGAGTGAGCACCGCTTAAGCTTCAGCATCCATTTCACAATAAAATTATGTGAGCGCTGCTTGCTATTCGGCCTACCTTTCATACTCAGTCATCGAATAATAATAATAATTACAGCATTCACACCATAACTTTCCCAATGGGATAGTTACACTCGAACTGATATAAAGTAATTTCAATGATGCATCTATTTTCACCGCTAGTTGGTTATACTACCAATCACAATAAACTGTCTCTTGGTAAATCATTGTAGGTATGCCTTAAAACATACTGTTACCCATATGGTACACAGTTTATCTAGCTCTAATTTTGCTACATCCGCTTCAACAAACGTAAACTTTAAACCACTCTAAATAACTGTTGTAAAATTAAGTAATTTGATTAAAATCATATTCATCGATACTACATGATATCGCTCACTACACATTGGCTGTATAAGCTGCACTGGATTCACTATACATCAGTTATGTTCCGGTTAACAAAACATCATTTAATTCAAATCTTTCAATCAGTATCTGTAAACATTACCTGTAAAATCATTGTTATCATCACAACATCACCNNNNCCTTTCCGTTGCTAACAGACGGCCGTCCTGATGCCGGAATGTCCCCATTCCGCTTCGGCCATTCGAACGTTATGATGTATGTCCCCATACATGTATGCTATCTATATCGTTTAATTACTTGAGAATCAATTATCATCTGCAACACCTTAATCAACAGTTGAATCAATCATCCAGCTGAAATTCGATTCGCATTTGACAACACCAGTGTAGTGTCAACACCTTCCTTGTGAATAGTTTCACCCGAGGACCTTA